TTCTATAACTATTATCCTTCTGTCCTAAATGTCATGATTTAACACAAGGCATGGGATGTGTATCCCTGTATAGTTAAATCAGCTGTTACTGAATCTCAAGTAGACTGGCAGGGATCAGATATTTATCAGTCTCTAGATAGCGACATATCTGGGCATGGCCATGCACTTTCCCAAGTCCTACTATTCAGTGGGCCCATTGACATTATACTTCTATACAGTAGAAGGGACAGATCCTGTATCTGTTATTCACATCTCTAAATATGCTTAGCGGCATACCCAACGCATAACTGTACGTCTACCAGTATTTCAGATAGCATTAGTTATGAATCAAAGCATACGGCCCCACATATCAGAGAATGTAATAACTTCATGTCTGAGGATAGTTATAGCAAGGTCGATTTGAGAATACTGATAAACACATTACTGTAGATCCATGCAGTATTCTCAAGATGGGTCAATCCAGTCACATATTATCAATATAATATGCACCTACGTACAGATTAAGATATCACAATACCTATAGTCTATGAGACGCAACTATCTCATCTCGTACGTACTAGTCTTGATACGTTATGACGTCCGTATTATCATAAAGTGCGACTAGGGATATTCTAGACATAGCCTTCGTCAAGAAGTAACAGTCTCATAATCAGAACATCGTAGTCCTCATCTATGTTACTGAAGCGCTATCGTCTATGGACTGAAGCTATGTTATGTTACACGAGATATAAAACATACTTCAAGGCCTTTCATTCATGATAAAGTGTACAGTTACATAGGTATTTGATTGCCGCTAGGGCACCTAAATACAACAATATGCAGATGTTTCATTAACCCACATCAAATAATAAATCTGTTCGCAAGACTAGGAGGAGGATGCATTGCAATATAGAATCCAGAATCAATTTCAGGTCTTCATATGAAGCTAATAATAAGAACATTCGAATCGCAGTGCGATTCATTTTCCTACAATCAGAACACTCCTTGAGAATCAATGGACAAAATGCTTAACAAATTATGATAAAATCGCACATAAAATTGCATTAGATCGAAAAATTGACGGTTCAAGAAAACTTGCCAAATTACAGACAAGAAACACTGATCTTTGGTTCAGATGATAATAATAGATTTAAAAAAAATAAAGGAGCATCACAAAACCTAATCAAGAGATGAAGCTCCATCAGTTGCTACGCAAACCCAAATGTTACCAACGTCAGGAGCTAATGGAGCAGCGAGGAGTTACCCAGGTCCTTGTCACTGCTGCTTGACGGTCGCCGGAGGAAGTCGCCGGAATAGGTCATTCCCTATCACCGCCGGTCGCTGCCTCTGTCACAGTAGATGCCAAATCGCTAGAATTTCGCCGTTGTGGGTCTGCATCGCTGCGTTGGATGAGGGTCGCCGGGGATTGTTGACGCTGCTGCTTTCATCGCCAATTGGGGAGAATCGGAGAAGAGAGGGGCGGCTGAAAGTGAAAATTTTTAGAAATTTGTACTTAAGAAGAGGGGGGTGAAATTGGGAAGAGGGAAACAAATTTAGGGAGAGGGAAATGAAAATTTTTAGAAATTTGTACCTTTTGAATTGAATATGATTGTAGCATATCTGTCAAATAAGAGACAACCTTGACAAATAAATTGATTTTTTTGAAGATTAGATTTGATCTTATTAGAATTAAATTTGATTTGATCCGTTTAGATCTGTTTTGGTCTTATTCGATGTAATTAGACCCGATCTGATGCATTTAATGTTTATATCACAAAAATAAGATACAACCAACACAAGTAAATTATTTTTTTAAAGATTAGATCTGATCTTATTAGATTTGCATTTGATTTCATTTGACCTGTTCTAGTCTAATTCGATCTAATTTGATCTGATCTGATGCATTTATAGATTAGATCAGGCAAACAAGACACGACATATATAATTAAATTGTTTTTTAAAGATTTGATCTTATCTTATTAGATTTGAATTTTACTTTATTTGATTAGATCTTTTTTTTCTGATTCAATCTAATTAGATCTGATATGATGCATTTAAGGATTAGATCTGGCAAATATGACACGACCTTTACAATTAAATTGATTTTTTTAATATTTGATCTGATCTTACTAGATTTGAATTTGATTTGATTCGATATTTTTGAAGATTTGATCTGATCTTATTGGATTTGATTTTGATTTATTCCGATTAGATCTGTTTTTGTCCAATTTGATCTAATTAGTCCGATTAGTTATATTGAAAACTCTTTAAATTTGATCTAGTCAAATATGATATTATGAGATCAGATATTATTTCATTAGATATCATATAAACAACATATAAACATGTTAAATTGAGATGTAGTGGCTCACATGAAATATGCAAGCAATAAAATCTGATTGAATTTTATTTTATCTTATCTTATCTAGTTATATTTAATCTAAATATGCAAGCAATAAAATCTAATTTGTTTAGATATAATCTAAACAACATATAAACATGATAAACTGAGATGTAATGGGTCGCATGAAATATATAAGCAATTATTGTATAAAGTCATATATGCAAATGCATAATGCCAAACCAAGAAATAATGCCAAATATGACAATATATATTGCCACACTTGGCAATGTATAATGACACATATGCCAATATATAATTTTACATATAACACACTTGGCAATGTATAATATAATACATATGTTAATGCATAATCTCAAAAAAGTTAAACATCAAGAAACTCTATTTGCCAACACACTAATCATTTCGTTTCAATATATGTTTTAGAAAATAATTTTTTAAGAAGTAAAAAAAGATTTAAAATCAAACGTCACAATCTATTTGAAATTGAATATAAAATTGATTAAAAGTTTCAAACTGACGCAAGGCTAAAAGAATTAGTACCAATTTTACAAAATAACTCCCGAAAAAGTAAATTTTTAGATTTAAAATTGAATTTAACTACTTATGTCAAATTAAATATCAAATTGAATTCAAACTTACCCAAGGGGACGGAGACATTCGAGCCATGAAAAATAGAAATGGTGGAGAGGGTGGAAGGAGATTTTGTGTATAAGAGAAAAAGAGATGATAGAGAGTGTGGCAGAATCATTGCCGCAAAGAGTAGATGGTAACGGCAGAGAGGGGATTGAGATTAAGTTAACAGCGTCAGCAACTGAGATAAGAACGAAGGAGATCGTAGAAGGATGGGATTGGGAAGGGGACGGGTGACTTTTTCAACTACATAGGGTTGGGATGTAGTGTGGTTAGTGCGGAAGAGTAAATCAAAACAAAATTTAATTAATTACTCCTATTTAAAGGAGTTTAAGTTTGAACTCTTATTTTGAGGATATGATATATGTTTTACTTCTATTTAGGGAGTTTTCTTATAATTAAATAAATAAGAATTATTTATTTACGACAATCTATTCTTTTAAAGAATTAAAATATATTTTACAGATCCTAATTGTCTCAATATAACGTGACTAATCTGATTGTATGTATAAAGATTTAAAGTAAAAGACTAATTGGTACTAACTAATCGAGAGAATTAAGACGGACCAAGTGGAACCTATAAATGCTTGTTGAATGATTATAAAAGTTATACTATTGGGTAGGGATCGACGAATCAAATCCAACGATACAAACGGATCTCAATTCGAAGCAAGTTGACCCGAAAGGTGTGTTTTACTCAGACACGTTATTTTAAATTATGGAGAGCAAAACCCTAGGCATATATATACTCTTTTCACGCGATAGTTTTGGCCTCCTTCTTCCCGATCGAGACACGCCGCCACTAGACATAAATTGTTTTCCTTCTCCGATGAACTCTGATCACCATCCCCCGCCACCACGACATCGCCGACGAGCCCCTTTGCATATGCGACCAACGGTGATGCAAGCAACACGAACAGAGGCAACGAATTGGATGAGGGCAGCAGCCTCCGGCGAATCCCTCTGTTCCGGTGAAGTCCAGCAGCGATAGAGAAGGGGGATGTCGCGAGGCTAGTCAACGGTAACGAATGGTCTCCACCGGAAGGCCACCTCCATCTTTGGCGGAGAATTTCCGGTCAGACACAGGGGTGGTGGTGATGATCTCCATCGGCAACGAGGGTAGCAGCGGCGAGAAGGGTGGGGAGTGGCCTCCATCTTTTCCGGTGAAACAGTGAGGAGTCCAGCGAGCCTCCTCTGCTCTGGCGAAAATAACAGCGATGGCGTCTAGACTGCAGGCCGGCGACGGCTTCTGGGCAGCGACTCCGGTGATATCTGCTATACCTGCAATGTCTCTTTTCACTACCCGATAGCCAACTGGAGTTGTAAGTTTCCTTCTAGTTTCAATCGGATCTGTTAAGTAAATGTAAATGTTGCTAGGCTTTTCTCATTAAAGCCTAATTGTTGTGGATTTATGGAAAGCTACAGATTCTGCATCTACTGTGACTTAGCTTTGATTGTGAATAGATGTCTACTGCGGCACGGCATGCTTAATGAGACTGTTTGACTCATTAGAGTATATTAAGGTCTAATTTATGAACTATTCAAGATAATTGTTGGAGCTGTTTTAAGGTCATGTGTGTGTTTTAGCATATTCATAGGTGATATCTTCTATTGTAAATTTCACAGGCCATAACCTCATCAGGGTCAAAGAAAGAAGGTCGATTTGTGGCTGATCTTAATATTAAGCTTAAGAGCAAAAAGATTACCACAGATATCGTATAGCCTCGTGTATATTGGGGGTTAGAAGGTTTTCTTCTGAAATTGTTTCCTTTTTAAGGTCTGTCCAGCTTCCTATAGTTCTTAGGAGGGACTACCTTTTTGGGAACTTCTGTTGGTTTCTCCTTTTCCTTCCCTTTCTGCTTATTAGGTTTGACAGTAGGTTTAGGAGGGATGAAAGTTGTCTTCCCTTTCCTTTTGGAACTAGAGGGGTCAAACCCAAGTCCTTTGCGACCCTTATGTTTGGTCGTTTCAAGAAGCTTGTTCACTGCTTCTTGGGGCTTAAGTATCCCTAGCTCTTTGTCAAGGGATTTCACCTTTTCAGAGAGAGATTCATTTTCAGTCTTGAGTTGAGTGATCTCATTCAGTTGACTTTTCCGACTTTCAGTCAACTTGAGATTCTCTTCACTCAATAGTTTGTTCTCTTCTGTTAAGGATGAGTGTTTGAGATTTATCTCCTCAAAATCTTTCATCATCTTTTTGAACTGGTCAAAAAGATTTTCAGAGGTTGGTATGCTATAAGAAGATGAGCAGGAGGTTTGTGAGGTTACCTCTTGATCAGCATCATCTTTGGCCATTAGGCAGAGAGTGTCATCTTCTGACATAGTCCACCTATCCTCATGGTTGGACTTCTCAACTCTGCGCTCCATGCAGACGAGGGCTTCTTCATCCGAGCTTGAGCTGGATGACTCCTCACTTTCAGCAGCAACCATTGCTTTCTTTTTCTTCTCGATCCTTTCTCTTTCTCTGTACTTCTCCACCTTTGGGTACGGGCATGCTGACTTCCAGTGGCCAGGCTTCCTACAGTTATAGCATAAATAAGATTCAGGAGGGGAGTCACTTACCTGTGGCTTTCCCTTGGATGGCCTTCTGATTGAATTAGCCTTCTTGAAGAACTTCTTGAACTTCCGGAATTGTTTGACCATCATGGCAAATTCCTCATCGTAGTTCTCCATTTTTGAGCTTGACGGCTGGCTGGAGGAAGGTGTGTCACAGTTTCTTGTGCATGTCCCTTCACTTGATGGGATTCTTGGAGTTGTCATCAATGTCGTGGGGAAGGGAGTGACTTGTTCTTCCTTCTTCTTCTTCAGCTCATGCTCATAGGTTCTGAGTTCATCAAGGAGACCTTGAACAGTGTAGTTCTCCAGGTTTCTTCCTTCTTCCATGGCTGTGGCTTTGGTGTACCACTCAGTTGGAAGTGATCTCAGCAACCTTACATTCTTTTCTTTGGGAGAAAAAATGTGGTTAAGTGAAGCAAAATCATTCAATATCTTGTGGAATCTTTCATCCAACATATCAAATGATTCTCCGGGAAGCATTTTGAAGCTTTTGAACTTCTCAAGCAGGACTTCTATCTTCTGCTTTCTCAGGTCCTCTGATCCCTCACATAGCTTCCCAAGACCTTGCCTAATCTCCATGGCAGTCTTGAGATGCTTAATCTTGGAGAAGATGATGGGATCAAGTGTCTTGAAGATGGCTGCTTTGGCGACGTTGTCCAGATTGTGCTTTTTGCAATCTCTATCATCCCATTTTTCTTTGGGCTTTGGAATGTACTGGACTACATCTGGAGCAGCTGGATTCCTCTCAGGGTTCTCCATTTGGATTTTCAAGGGTCCATCCTCAAGCACCATCCACGTGGTGTGGTACTTGATCAAAAGTTGTATCCTTCAACGCGGTGTGGTACTTGAGGCAAGGAAACCTTCAAGTATTTACACTATAGCTCTTTGGAAGGAGGAGAAGTTTGCTTCTGGATAAGGAGTTTAGAAATCTCTCTTTATCAAGCTTTTTGGGCTAACTGTGAATGTGGTAGCCTCTTTGTGGTTGTTTATCTTATTGTTGTCGTTGTTCTCTACTTCCCCAGTCTTCCAAGGATGCTATTTATAGCTGGATTGGATAATCTATCCCTTGAATCAAAATAGACTATCCGTTGCATTTGCTGGCTTCAATTTTGAATGAAGATTGTGATTTTTAAGATTCCTCATTGGAATGGGTGTTTGGACATACCCAATTGTTAAAGGAGGGATTCCTTTTTCCATAGAATCCGTCTTCTAGTTGTTGTTCAAGAATTCTGAACTGTAGCACTTTACTCTGTTTGTCCTCTAGTGCTTGTTTAGGAATTCTGGACAGGTTCTTCAATTTTTAGAGGTCCAGACTTTGTCTTCGAGTCATTTGTTCTTGAATCAACATAATTATCTTCAATCTAGCCGTTGAAAATCAAGAGATTGATTTTTCCTTACCAACGGTAGAACTTCTTCATTCAAGACTTAGATAATTTTCTAAGTCTTTTCTCACTTGTCCGCTTTTTGAGAATTCTGGTCTTCCTTGAGGCATCCGGTTCTTAGCTGACAAATCCAGAAGAGTCATACTCAGTCTTCCAGGTGAGAAAGAAATCCGCGCTAGTCTTCCGACTTAGCCTTCAGCGGGTTGTAACGAGACATCCGGTTCTCATGTAGTCTTCCGGATAGGAGGATTTTCGTCTGCTTTGAGAAATCCTTACTTGTCTCTGACATTTCCGATCAAGATATCCAATTTCCAAATTTCTGAATTTGATTAAGTCTTCAGGCATCAAACCGCTTAAAGAAATATCACAACTTTATTGGAAATCTCAAGAACTTGGTTTTAACAATGTTTCTAAAAGGAAAAGTTACATTGAATATCTGGGGAGACCTAAAGTCCCTATTACATTCTAAATACATCATCATCAAAATCTATGATATTTTTCCCAACAATTGACTCGACTACGTCTTCAATTCTTGATCTTGTCCTTGAGTCTTTTTGGTCTTGTTCCATGCCTTTCTTCACGCCTTGAGTTATTCAACAAAACTCTTCATATCCACGACGGTTTGACAATTATCAAAACCTGTCAGAAATGAACACGACTTTAGTTAAACGTACAAAGTGTGTTCCAACAAGTGCGTGGTTTTTCGTGCTACAATGAACCCTTTACATTATATAGCATTTTTTATATGTCTAATAACATGTATAAATAAAGGTTTAATTTTTATTGAGTTAAAATGAAAATATAATAAAATACTCTTATCCGTATGAAGTTTGAAAGTTTGGTTGATAACTTCATCATGTGTCTAGTCCTTCGACATCGCCTTCAACCTCAGTTTCCTCATCCTCTATGATAACACCCATCCTCTATGGTATTGCTGTGTGATGTAGGGTTCTTGAAAGTGGTCTGCGACTCAGAAGTGATGTATTCCAGGTTTAGTTAGAAATGCAAACATGAAAGAGTACCATTCAGATCTGTTAAATTGCCAATCTGTTCTCCATCTCTTTCAAGACATTTTGAATTATATTTTCATACTTGAGTTTCAGAGTATTGAAAAATATGTTATGAATAACTCAAAAGCTTCTTCGTTAGGAAAAGTATTGAAAATACGTAAGGGTTTGGCTTATGTTAAATTCAGAGTCTGTTTTTTTCAACCATATTTGGTTACTCCGTATGTGTTTTAAGACCTCTAGTACTTTAAGGGTTTATAACGTAATGGTGTGATACAGAGAGTGACTCCCTGGTACACTTTTGTTTTTTTTCTAGCTTCATTGTTTTGTCAGTTGGATTTGAATCCAGTTATAATTTTTATGCCAGAAAATTCTTTTCTCCTGAAAGCGTTGTCCTAATCACGTTTTCCACTGCTTTCATATTCTACAAATGTCATCTTCATCCACACTAACACTGTCGATGCCACCAAGTGTCTCAGCTTCATTGTCCAGTGTTTGTCATCTTTTGTATAGAAAATGTGTTAGACCGAGAGGTGGCGTTTTAGGGAGAGAATAACCTGTAAATTAGCCTGATGGGGGGTACAGAGCGTAAACACATTGGGATCATAATGGTTTAAAAACCATGTAACAGAGCTTTAGAAAAGGTCTGATAGTGCCATGTCAACAATTTTTAACATTTTTGATAATAGACCCTTGAACCGCTAATACTCTTAAAAGACATGTGCACTCTCTATAAAATGGAATACAGACATCTAATTGAAAACATGCCAACATAGAGTAGCTTTTTATCTCATAGAATACCTTTTGTTGATTTTCATTACTTATATTAAATAGATGAGAAGTGAGTTATGATTACTTTTCATTTGGAATAAAATGTTAAAAAAATTATTTTTAGAACATTTTTAGTGAGTACATTTGTTTTATTTTTTATTTCCATGAGATAAAGCACATGAAAAATTTCTCCAATTGCTTAAAATGACTTGAACGATGGGAATAAAGGGATGAAATACTTGTCAATAGTTTGGTCTGTAGTAGTTTGATTGTTATGAAGTGGAGAATGGAGAATACCGTTTATAGTGTATCATCAGTTCATGCAAATGGTGTTTTGTTAAAGGTGTTGTAGATTACACAAGTCAATAGTTTTTTACACCATTCATCTGCATAAAACTTAAAAGAATAAGTTTAAAAAGTTCCTTTCATTTAATAAATATACTCACAAAAAGATGGAGGTCTCAAAATTATGATTTAGAGACATGAAGAAATCCATAAAATGGCAACTGTCATAAAATATATCTGTGCACTTTGAAATGCAATAAGACTATTAACTGAAAGTGCTGATTAGCATGAAGCTAATACAGAGTAATGGGGTCAGAATGATACCTAGCAGGAGTAAGGAGAGCAGAAACTGAACCCTCCATCAATTTGTCACAGTTTTTGGAAGGTGTTAGAGGTTGTTCAGGATGTGAATGCAGGGTTTGGTTAGCAATGGACATGTCAGGTAGCCAGGAGTTGTGATCTGAAGGAAACAATGCACCGTTCTGAGATGATGAATCTTCACATTCTTCTGAAAATTTTAGAACTTCAACAGGGGTTCGGGTAAGGTTCCATAAGCTTTGAGAAATTTAGCCTACAGAATAAACCAGTTAGACCAAATAAAGAGTAGAGGCCATATGAATCTTCATTTTCGACATTATGACATTGGGCATGTATTAGGATATCGAAAGTTTATTTCAGTATTTTAAATTAACATTTGCATAAGACTCCTAAACTGAGTTATATAAGTAGCCTTATTGTGGATTCCCTACTGGCTTACTCACAAATACGGAATTAAACATCAAGATGACCGATGGTTTGAAATATAGTGTTTTCTAGGTCTCTCTCCAAAAGGGATGTTATTTCCTTCCCTTGATAAATTGAAAAGTCTTCCCAAATGGGTCAACACACCTGGTTTCATCCTTTTCATGAATTTGAAAATGGTAGTTATCAGTTTTTAGGTTGGGGTTTTGTGCTTTTATGTTTGGGTTTTAGATCTTTTGTTTGGGGCTGGTTTTTGGGTTTTGGGTTTGGATCTGCGGTCTGGCGGACTCTGGCCTTTGGCAAATCAGAGCTGGGTTTTGGAGCATGATTTTAGTTTTTCCATTAGTTATAGCTGGCTGCTAGTGGAGAGGATATTGAGAGTCTATGAAACTCATGGATTGGAATACTTTGCTTTTGTGTTCTGGCTGTGTTTTTTTGTTTGGGACTGGTTTTTGAAATGGTTTTTGGAGTTGGTTTTGAGGTAGGCTCTGGTTGGGTTTTGAAATTTGAGTTTTTCTTTTGTGTCTAATTTTGGCTCGGGGTTTTAGGGTATTTTATCTTGGTTGTTGGCACAATAAAATTTATATTAAAAGATCTTTGAAGGAAGAGACATATTGGGACCTAGCTATTACACCACAACCTTATATACAACAATGACCCCATTGGATCCGACGAAAGTAGTATACCACAACCTTAAATGAAAAAAGAATTTGAAAATTGAGAAACTAAAACACAGATCACAACAACAAATGAGTTTCATCACAACACAAGAGAAAACAGGTCGGGGGATCGATCCAGCACTTTGGATCGATCCTCCATAGAGAAAATACTCAGTTGGATCGATCCAGGAGGTATGATCGATCCTACCTGGGTATTTTCAGCCACTGTTCATCGTCTTCTTCGTTACAGGTCCAATTTCGGAAATATCATTTTTAGTCATCGAACTTCAACGAAACTATATAGAGATGTTCTCCAAGGTTCATAGATCATTTTGGCATCATTAATTCATAGTTTTAACATCAATTTTATGGTTTATGATTCTTGGTTCTTCAAGCATGTCAAACACAAAACTCAACCAAACGACTATTTATGAACGTAGAAACGATCTATACGAACACTCTAGTCACTAGATATATCTACGGGCTTACCTCGAAGGTAAATTAAGGTTTTGAAGATTTTCTGGCGAAACTTCCGGCGACGATGGCTCTCAACTCCGGCGACCTTACACCAAATTGACAGCACCACTGCGTTCTCCACACTCAAGGCTATCTCCCAGAACGAATTTGATGAAGAATGGTGAAGAAATGGTGAAGTTTTGGTTTCCATTATATAGAAGAAGAATGGAGAAGAAGCCATTGGTTCCTGCGTCACCTTCTCTGTTTGAGCGGCTAGTGGAGCGGACGGTGATTTCTTCCCATTTCAAACGCAAGTCCCTGATTGGGACTAATTTGGTCCCAGTCGGGGAAAACTTTTTTGGTCCAACTTTCTCCGAATTGAATTCCGTTTGCACCGTTGCGATCGTATAATTAAACTCTATCCAACAATATAATTTTCATATTTATTTGAAATACTTTTTCCGACATCATATTTTTAGGTGGTTGACTTTGACAGAGTCAAAATTGATTTTGTTGACCTTTACTCAGAAAGGTTTTTACATTTCATTCATATTATTTATTCTCATGATTTATTTCAATAAATCATTTCAAAGTTTACATCACAAACAAATTCTTCATTTATTCTTGATTTGGGTCTGTACTCACGTTCTCAATCAAGGTCACACAGTAAGTCAACATATTGGATTTATCTCTATGAGATTTATCTGGATTTTGATATTGGATATCAAAACATATTTTATTTTGGCCCAAGGCCCAACAATAATTTATTTTAATCAAAACAAATTTGATTAATTGATTATTTATTCATTAATAATTCTAGGGTATGTTTTGGGGCGTTACACATCCTCCCCCGGGACGTCAAAGGCTTCTCCCACTGTAGAATCTCATCCAGTTGGAGATTCCTCCGGGGACTAGGTTCAAGGTGGCGCTACTGCCTTGGTAATTTGCACACCATCTGCTGCCCTGGATGCTGTCCCCATTTCTGCCATTCGTTGGAATAGACCAGCGCAAAACCAGGGCTGTAACTTCTTCTCGCCGAAATCATCCTTCGTCTAGTCCTTGTGCGCCATCACCACCGTGCGCACCCTTGTCGGAATCCATGCCCTGACTGAACCCTAGGCCTGTGTGTCTGTAACACCCTAATCCATCCAGGTCTGCAGCCCCATTCGGACTAAAGTATTTAACCTGGTAATCGTAAAAATTAAAACTTTTCAAACACACTTTATTAATCTCAATAATATTTTTCATAACATATACAGTACAGAGTATTTAACAATATTGCGGAAGCGAATTTAATATTGACATATCATAAATCATTTCAAAACTTGTCACATCCATCCCGACAATCTCGCCCCATCTGCCGCCAGGATCACATTAATCTTTCTGTTTACCTGCGTGTAGCAAATAAAGGACACTACACGCTCAGCGGTGAAGCTGAGTAAGCATATCTAAAGCGTCGAACATCCATATAAACTGAATCTAAATTCATAATCAAATCATTTGATATCATGCACACAATGTTCACTTCAGACATTCACAGTTTTGATATTATTCAGTTCTTATCAACATATTTTATTCAATTCAGTTATTATTTCGATAGTGCTCTTAAATCGTTCTTAATCTAAGGCCAAAACATAACAACGCTCTTAACTATTCTTAGTCTAAGGCCAGATCATAACAACGCTCTTAGCTATTTTTAATCTAAGGCCAGATCATAACT